CCAAGCTCTGAGGCTGACTGTATTCTCTTTGTCCACAGGGCATTTCTCTTGTGAGCCATCACTGGGGCCTTTGCCTTTCTTATATTTAAAAAAAAAAAAAAAAGTCCTTATCTGTATTCCAGCTCAGTCGGTGCATTATCTGGTAACCATAGCAGCTTTGCTCCTAGCAGAAAAATATGAAGTCCTCTGGGTTAATTTTTAATGTTTCCCCTGGTAAAGGATGATGTTATCCATGAAATGGATTGCCGGCTGATCCCTGAAACCCGGCAGGAGCACGGATCTCGAACATATTTTCAGATAAGGCTTTGTCAGGCGTGCTGGCCTAATAGAGCATTTATCACAGAGACAGGGAAAAAGAAAAGAAAACTAACATTCACTGAGTGCTGGGCACCGTGTCGAGCCCTGGACTCGCACTGTCCCATTTTGCATGTGGGTGTTCTCATCCCCATTTTCTGATGAGGTCCTCAGGGTCAGAGTATTTTCATCACTTGTTCAAGGTCAACTAGCTCAGAAATGGGAGCCAAGGATTGGAGCTCCAAGTCTATTAACTCTCAAAGCCTCAAGGTTTTCCCATGTCTGGAAATGGCTCAAAGACGATGCCGTCTACAGCTAGAGAGTTTGGCTTTTGGAAAATAAATTACTTGCCTCTGTCCACCCAGACCCCTCTTCTGAAAATTCTACTGGCCAGGAGACCACCCTCGGAAGAACCCCCGCCCCCCGACAATGCATGCACGACATCCATGTTTGCAAGGCTTTGTCCTGCTTTTTCCAGGGTCTTTGCCCTCTTTCCTCTCACTTGTAACTCCACTGAAAACAGCTGTGACTCCCACAGAAACCATCTCTTGAGAAAACATATCGAGCGCATGAGCCACTGATTAAATGGAGAATCTCCCCAGTCTTTTCAAACACATGACTTCAGGGTGGGGGGAAAACAGGGCCCTGGTTGAAGCTGCCAGACCCCCCAGGCCATTTTCTCTGGGCCTCTGTTTCCCTATCTGCAACATGGGACTGAATTTATTGTCTTATTCACTGGAGTGGCACTGTCTAGCATGTGCCAGCAATAATACTGGTGCCAAGGACATAAAACAAAGTCAGGGGTGTTTCTGCCCTGCCCGTAGGCTTACATTCCCGCTCTTGTTTGCTGGCCTCTTCACACGCAAATCTCATTCAATCTGTGTGACATCATTCCTTTGGATTTATGATTTCCGTTTTCCAGGTGAAGAACATGAGCTTTGGAATCATCTAATAACTTGCCAGTACTTACTTAGCACCCAATCTGCCAAAAAAAAACCAAAAAAACAAAAAACACAGCACTCTACAAATGAAGTCTGAATGAATGAATGGATGAATAAATGGGTGAATGGATGGACAGATGGATGACTCATAACTTACAAGTGGTAAAGCTGTACTTGAACCCCAGGTCGACCTGACTTAATACATGTGTACTTTCCACTGCCCCACTGACTCACAGGACACAGTGCCCACCTTGCCAGGCCAGCTCAGCCCCTCATTCCAGCCTGGAGGCAGAAGGGAACCTGCCCCTTTGGGAGAATCTCTGCCTCAAGCCGGCCCAAAACCTCCCCCAGCATCATGGGCACAGAGATACGGCCAATCCCTTATATCCCAAGAGGTGTCTTGACCAGCAGAGCAACAAATCTGCATCTGAAATCTTTCATTTCATATTGTAATTATGATTATTTGCTGAGCTTCAAGGCATAAATAATTTATTTGGATAATCCCATCCCAGTGACACTTTCCTAATGAAATGTCTTAGTTTGGAGGAGAATGTGTTCATTATGAGAAGGTCCCCTTTGCCGCCAGGGCATGGAGAGATAAAAGAACAGGCAGGTGCTTTGTATCATCTATTTGGCAGGCTCGGGAGCCTCTGGCCCCAGTCCGGGCCTCATCATCATCAGAATATCGCTGATGGATGTGTAATTTACAAAGCCTGTGTCATTCCTTTGTCAGAGCCACAAGCAACCTGCCGCCTTCGTGGTCACCCAGCACCCTCTACCCAACACCGTGGCAGACTTCTGGAGGCTGGTGTTTGATTACAACTGCTCCTCTGTGGTGATGCTGAATGAGATGGACACTGCCCAGGTAGGAGGAGGCCGAGCCAAGCCCTAGGTGGGTCAGGGGGGCCATACTCTAAACCTGGAGGGAGAGCCCTTAACAGCCAGTGCCTGCCACATCTGCCCCAGCTAGCTGTCCTGTAATAAGCTCTGTCTGGCCATGAGCATCAGGCAAAAGCCATTCTGCTGCTTACAGAGGGTCCTGTTGCCCCCCAGACCTCCAGCAAAGACTCCCCTTGCCTATGGGCTTTGTCCAGCTCCCCGCCCGGTACCAGACTCTGTTGCTCCATCTCACAAGCATTGATTATTGTCTTGCTCCAAAGCACACAGATCTTGCAGAGCCAGGAGGCTGCCTCCCCCAGCACTGAGCACCTGCAGCCCTGAATAATACCCAGATGCCCGGCCACACTCACCTCCCTTCCCCTTCTGCAATGCAGCCTGTGCAGACAGAGCCTGGGACTTGAACCTTGGACACTTTACCCACTGACCACCTCACCAAGCCCCAGTTCCTCACAATTGACCTTCGTGTCCTGGCAGGCTTCCTGCCTTAGCCCCTCTGGTCTGATAGCTCCTAGTATCACATGCCTATAGCATATCCCCATATTCAGGACACAGGACATGTATCTTGGGACAGTTTCTGGATTTCTTCAAGGCAGTGAATGCACCTCTATGCCAGGGCAGCCATTCTGGGGTGGAAGAGGTGAGAATGGTCCTTCAGATTTTTAAAAATCTATCCTTTCACTGCCTTGAATAAAACTTAAAGTAACATCGCAGTCCTGTGTGAGCGCTGGCCTTGTGCAGGCCTTGGATGGGAATTTTAAAAATTTTTAAACAGACCCGAGCTATAGTTTCAGCCCTGCAAAAGCTCACGGTCTTGCTCCAGAGACAGATGAGCAAATTGTCCCAACCTCGTGTGGCTGTGTTATAATAGAGGTCAGCAGCGAAGTGCTGTGTTGGCCAGGAGCAGGGAGCAATTAATTCTGCCCAGAGGGTTAGGGAAGACTTCAAAAAGAAGATGACTTTGGCCTTGAAGAAGGCATAGGAGCTTTAGGTATATGGAGGCTGAACTCACTGGGAAAAGGCATTTCAGGCAGAGGGAACAGCACAGGCAAAGGTGAGGCAGGGGAAGAATATACGTAGACTTATTTGCAGAACAGTTTATGTTCCAGTGTGGCTGGGGCTTAGGGGAATATCAGGAGGAGACAAATGTAGTGAGGCTGAAAAATGTAGCAGAGCCCAGCTTGCAGAGAGCTCCCTGTGCCAGGCTAAGGAGCTTGGATCTTGGTTGGCAGCATAGCAAGCATCAGACTTTTCCTTTGTTAAGCAACAGAATCCTTTCTATGAATAAAAGCTTTCATGCAAGCCCAATGTATGAAACAAATAGCAATGACCAAGAGCTGCTCATGGTGAAGCAATAGGCAGAGGCTGGGGTTCCACCCACACTGCTCTCTCATTTTCTCCTGGTGCCCCTGGTCCTTTATGGGACCGCTGGAGTTTGGAGTAGCACAGTTAGAAATACTTTCTGTGCGGGAAGGTGAAACACTGGAGAGTCAACAGTGGTATAACACAGCCAGGGTTCCTGTTAGAAAGCTGGGTCTAGAGGCTGGGCATGGTGGCTTATGCTTGTAATCCCAGCACTATGGGAGGCCAAGGCAGGAGGCCTGCTTGAGGCCAGGAGTTCATGCCCAGCCTGGGCAACACCATGAGACCCTGTCTCTACAAAAAAAAAAAAAAAAAAAAAATTAGCCAGGCATGGTGCTGTGTGTCTACAGTCCCAGTTACTCAGGAGGCTGAGGCAGGAGGATTGCTTGGGCACTGCAAGGCTAAAGTGAGCTATGATCCCGCCACTGCATTCCAGCCTGGGTGACAGTGCAAGAACCCATCTCCCTTTTTTTTTTTTTTGAGACTGACTCTTACTCTGTCATCCTGACTGGAGTGCAGTGGTGCAATCTTGGCTCACTGCAACCTCTGCCTCCCAGGTTTGAGTGATTCTCATGCCTCAGCCTCCTATGTAGCTGGGATTACAGGCATGTGCCAACATGCCTGGCAAATTTTTGTATTTTTAGTAGAGACGGAGTTTCACCATATTGGCCAGGCTGGTCTCGAACTCTTGATCACAAGTGTTCCACCTACCTCGGCCTCCCAAAGTGCTGGGATTACAGGCGTGAGCCACCGCATCTGGCTGACCCCATCTCTTAAAAAATAAATTTAAAAAACGCAAAAAAAAGGTAAGAATAAAAAGAAAGCCAGGTCTGGGGATCAGTGCAGGTAACAAGCTGGAGGAAAGACATGCAAACCAGGAGACTAGGGAGGAGAATGTTGCAAATATGCAGAAAATAAAGGTAGTTATCTGAACTTCAGAAGTGGCCAGGAGGTGAGAGGATTGGAATTGATCATGAAAACATTTCCAGACTTAAGTCCACAAGGTTTAGGGAGAGGGTGCAGGTGGGAGGTGAATGAGAAGGGAAGTTGCGGAAAATGGCAGGATGTTGAGTCTGGGCAATTAGGCATCCGGAGATATAACTGGTGAAAATATGAAAGGCAGGAAGGTGGGGGAAGGCAGCGAGAAGAGCAGATGAGCAGGGGATGAAATTGAGTGCACCTTGGGATGTGCCTGTGAGAGATGTTCCGGAGAGAGTCCATTGATTCACATTGATTCAGGCAACCCATATTTGTTGGGCATCTGCTATTTGCTGGAAGCTATTCTAGGTGCTTGGAATGCATCACTGAGCAACACAGACAAAGAGAGGCATAAAAAAAAATTCTCATCTCTCATGCAACTTCTATTCTAAAGGGGGAGACAGATAATAAGCAACACACACTCTCTAATGTGCTCAATTATAAGTTAGAAGGTGACACGAGTGTTTGGAAAAAGGTAAGAGGACAGGGTAGTAAAGATCAGAATGGTGGATCTGGGACATAGGATGTCACTGCAATAGGATTGTCAAGGTGGGCCCTATGGAGAAGAAAACATTTGAACACAGACCTGAAGGAGGTGAGAGAGTGAGCCATGTGACTCTCAGGGGGCATCGCAGGCAGAGGGAACACCTGCACCCAGGCTGCAGGGCAGGCATGCACCTGGTGCCCTTGAGGAATAGCACAAAGGCCATGGGCAGAGCAGTGGCAGAGCAGCACAACTGTGGGGAAAGCAGCGGAAGGTGAAGTCAGAGGGCCATGGAAGACATAGAAGAACTTGGGCTTTCATTCTCAGAGAAACAGAGAGCCATGCACATGTTTGAAGCAGAGGAGCAACATAATTTGCCTTTTTTAATAAAAACATCCCTCTGGCTGCTGTGTTGAGAATAGATTGTTGGTGCAAGGATGGGGAAGAGTGGTTTCTGAAATGGAAGCAGAGAGAACAGACAAGAGACTACTGTGATAATGCAGGTGGCAGGTGAGGTTGGTTGAACCAGAAGGTAGCAATGGAGTGGATTCTGAAGGTAAAGCCAACAACACACCCAGATAGATTGACTATGGAATAAGAGAGAAAGAGGAATCAAGGACCAGGCGTGCCTGTAATCTTACTTAGCACTTATCACTTGAGACCACAAGTAAAAGACCATCCTGGACAACACAGTAACACCCTGTCTCTACAAAATAATTTTTTTTTTTGAGATGGAGTCTCACTCTGTTGCCCAGGCTGGAGTACAGTGGCACGATCTCAACTCACTGCCACCTCCCGGGTTGAAGCAATTCTCCTGCCTCAGCCTCCCAAGTAGCTGGGATTACAGACGTGAGCCACCACAGCCAGATAATTTTTGTATTTTTAGTAGAGATGGGGTTTCACAATGTTGGCCAGACTGGTCTCAATCTCCTGACCTCAGGTGATCTGCTGATCTTGGCCTCCCAAAGTGCTGGGATTACAGGCATGAGCCACTGCGCCCAGCCCTACAAAATAATTTTAAATGAACTGGGCATGGTGCTCCATGCCTGTAATCCTAGCTACTTGGGAGGCTGAGGCAGGATTACTTGAGCCTAGGAGATCAAAGCTGCAGACAGCTGTGATCACACCACTGCACTCTAGCCTAGGGTGACAAAGTAAGACCCTGTCAAAAAAAAAAAAAAAGAGGAATGAAGGATAATTCCAAGGATTGGGGCCTGAGCAATAGAAGGTTAGAAACTGAGATAACTATAAAAAATGAATGAATTCTCATAAAACAGAGTTCTGGAACATTCCCTGAGGAGTTTTGGAGTCCAAAGGCATCACCACCCTATGCTTTTGGCTGAAGAAATAAAACAGTGAACTCAGCTTATGAGGCTGGGTGTGAAGTCTGGCCTGCAAAACACTGTTTGCTCTTCTCTTTTTCAACATCCCTTTCTGCAAAACCAGAGCTCAGGCACAGAGGACGACTTTCAAAGAACTTCACTTTGGGACATATAAAACCTTGAAACAAAGATCAAGGTCATTGGCTATAGCTCCCCCTTTCAGGGTAGGTCCTGGGTGAATGAAGAATCTTTCAGGCCCAGATGTTGGTACAGAGTTGAAAACTGATATTCTAAATGCAAAAACATCAGGCTCAGAAGTACCCTGAGGTTGGCTGCCATATGCAGCTGGCAAGCATTCCCTGAAACCGGCAGATGAATAGAGCACTTATTGATATAAATATCATCACCGCAGCAGCTGGGAGCCTTATGAAAATAAACAATGACACAGCATGAGCATCAGAAAAGCCGCCCTCGGCACCTGGAGGGGCGGTTCTTTGAAGTGGCATCAGCATCTGTCTGCCTGCATGCTCATGCCAAGGCAGCCTCCAAGCTAGCCCAGCCTGGTAACATGGACAGGTCCGCCTTAGGACCTCAGCATTGCTAGGTCATTCCTGAGAGGACCGATGCCACCTCCTGTGGTTTGCCTGGGAACCATAAGGGCGTATTTTGGGGATTGGGCAGGGCTACCTGTAAGTTGCAGCAAAATAAGAAGATGGTGTGATCTCTCACAGGGCCTTTTTTTTTTTTTTTTTTTTTCCTCCGCACTGCTGGCCAAATCTGCCCCTGCTCAGAATCTTACACTACTTCACTCAATCAGCCCCA